GAATGGATAGGTGGGGCAGCCAGAGAAGGCATTGAGGGCCATGGTTGAGAGACCACAGAAGCTGGTCAGAGGGCTTCCACCTGGACAGTTTGAACATTGGAAAAAGAATGCAACTGATTGTAACACATTGACTAAGTAAAAATCCATGAGTGTAGAGTGATACCAAGATACAAGGAGAATGAAGACAGAAGGCCAGCTAAGAAATAGAAAAGTAATGACAATTATCAAAATTATTGTTATGTAACCCCCAGTGTAAGTCTTAAATGTAAACTTTTTCACAGTAAAAGGATGGGAGAAAACAACTATATTAAGAGAAAAAAAAAAAGGCAGTGTTTTTGGTTCCTGTGAAGCTTAAGTGTTTCATTATTTGATGGAAATCTCAGTCATGTTTTTGTAACCAAATCTGCTGGTACCACTTGAATTCTCAAGACTAGTCTTTTGATACTATGAATATTACAGGGTTTTTTTTTTTATTATTATTATTTCAGTTGCAAGATTTAATAGAGTGAAAACAGAGCTCCCATACAAAGGGAGGTACAGGGTTATTATATAAAGTAATTAATTATTTCCAAGGAAAGCATGTTATTTCAGTGGTTTTCCTAGATTGAGATTCACTTTCTTTTTCTGAGCCCCCATCATGGGCCGGACACTGTGCTAGCCATTTCTACATGTATTACCTCACTTCTTTCTTAGCATAACCCTGAGAATTAGGTCAGATGAGGTGACTGAAGCTCAGAGAGTTCAGATACTGTGTCCAGTGGCAAGCATCAGTAAGTGTGAAAATGAGGGTTCAAGACCAAGTCTTCTGGGCCCCAAGTGCTTTCCCTTCTCATAGCTCTTGTTCTGTCCCATGGATTAGCTCAGCAAGTAGCTTGTTGAAAACAAGGGGCTTGTTTTCAGGGTCTGTGAGAGAGGAAGGCATGAAAATACAAAGGTGGAACCAAGGAAGACCAGAGAGAGAGAAGAGCTACTTAGATGTCTCACAATAGTGTACATTTTAATTAAATTACATGCTTGGAGGAAATGTTCCTGAGTAGGTAAAAGCTGATATTTTGTTCTTTTGGAAAAAAAAGTAAGCTAGAAGAAAACATAATTTGCTTCTTTTTTTCTCTCATATCAGAGGGAAGAGAGAAGACATTTATAGTTTCTAAAATACCCTTAGTAGTATAATTCTGTCATACTTAATATGTAAATGACTAGATCAAGGAGGAAGAGGGACATGACTGCTTTTAGCACAAGGCAGAGGTCACACTAGCTTCTCCTGGAAAACTGACCTGGGCTCCAATTGTACTCATGGTAGAAAATCTCAGGAGGCCACTGCAGTCAGCGGTGTTAACACTTTTAGCCTCGTTTAATTTTTTAAAAACAAAACACCTAGGAATCAATTAACCAAAGTGCAATATATGTACAAGGAAAACTCAAACACTGATGAAAGAACTTGAAGAGGACACAAAAAAAATGAAAGGGTATTCCATGCTTATGGTTTGGAAGAATTAGTATTGTTAAAGTGGCAATACTACCCAAAGCAATTTACAGATTCAATGCAATCCTCTTAAAATATCAATGACATTCTTCACGGAAATACAAAAAAAAAAAAAAAAAAAAAAATCGTTAAATTTATACAGAACCACAAAAGACTGAGTAGCCAAAGCAATCCTGGGCAAAAAGAACAAGATGAAGTATCACACTACCTGACTTCAAAATATACTACAGAGTAACCAAATCAGCAGGATACTCACATCAAAACAGACACATAGACCAGTGGAGCAGATTAGAAGATCGAGATATAAATCTATGCATTTGCAGCCAAAAAAGGTGCCAAGAACATACAATGGAGAAAGAACGATCCCTTCAAAAAAAATTGTGCTGGGGCCAGGTGCTGGGCTCATGCCTATCATTCTAACCCTTTGGGAGGCTGAGGCGAGAGGATCACTTGAGGCTAGGAGTTTGAGACCAGCCTGGGCAACATGGCGAGACTCTATCTCTCCAAAAAAAAAATTAGCCAAGTGTGGTGGCTTGTGCCTGTAGTCCCAGCTACTAGGGAGGCTGAGGTGGGAGGATCACTTGAGCCCAGGAGTTCAAGTCTGCAGCCACTGGACTCCAGCCTGGGCAATAGAGTGAGACCCTGTCTCAAAAAAAATTGTGCTGGTAAACCTGGTTAACCATATACAGAAAAATGAAAGATCCATATTTCTTACTATATATAAAAATCAAATCGAAATGGATTAAAGACTTAAGTCTAAGACCTGAAACTATGAAACTACTAGCAGAAAATGTTGGAGAAATGCTCCAGGACATTGGTCTGGGCAAAGATTTTTTGTGTGTAAGACCTCAAAAGCACAGACAGCCAAAGGAAAAATAGACAAATGGGATTACGTCAAACTAAAAAGCTCCTGTTGCACAGCAAAAGAAACAGTCAACAAAGAGATAACCCACAGAATGGGAGAAAATACTTGCAATACTTGCAGATTAATCCATCTGACAAGGGGTTAGTCACCAGAATTTGTAAGGAGCTCAAACAACTCAATAGCAAAAACCCAAATGATCCAATTTAAAAGTGGGCGAAAGATCTGAATAGACATTTCTCAAAAGAAGACACACAAATGGCCAACAGGCATATGAAAATGTGCTCAACATCATTGATCATCGGAGAAATGCAAATCAAAACCACAATGAGATATTTCACCCAAGTTAGAATGGCTTTTATCAAAAAGACAGGAATAACAGAGGCTGGCTGCTGGGCACGGTAGCTCACACCTGTAATCCTGGTACTTTGGGAGGCTGAGGCAGGTGGATCATCTGAGGTCAGGAGTTCAAGACCAGCCTGGCCAACATGGTGAAACCCCCGTCTCTACTAAAAATACAAAAATTAGCTGGGCATGGTGGCAGGTGCCTGTAATCCCAGGTACTCAGGAGGCTGAGGCAGGAGAATCGCTCAAACCCGTGGGGCTGAGGTTGCAGTGAGCCAAGATTGTACCACTTCACTCCAGCCTGCGCGAAAGAGCAAAACTCTGTCTCAAAAACAACAACATCCAGCCTGGGCGACAGAGTGAGACTCCGTCTCAAAAAAACAAAAACAAAACCACCAAACAAAACAGAGGCTGGCCAGGATGTGGAGAAAGGGGAACCCTGGTACACTGTTGGTGGGAATGTAAATTAGTACAGTCACGATGGAAAACAGTATGGAGGTTCTTCAAAAATAAAATAAAATAAAACTACCCACTTTGGGAGGCCGAGAGGGGCGGATCACGAGGTCAGGAGATCGAGACCATCCTGGCTAACACGGTGAAACCCTGTCTCTACTAAAAAATACAAAAAAACTAGCCAGGCGAGGTGGCGTGCACCTGTAGTCCCAGCTGCTTGGGAGGCTGAGGCAGGAGAATGGCATAAACCTGGGAGGCAGAGCTTCCAGTGAGCTGAGATCCAGCCACTGCACTCCAGCCCGGGCGACAGAGCGAGACTCCGTCTCAAAATAAATAAATAAATAAATAAATAAATAAATAAATAAATAAATAAAACTACCATATGATCCACTACTGGATATATATTCAAAAGAAAGGAAATCAGTATATCAAAGAGATATCTGTACTTCCATGCTTATTGCAGCACTATTCACAATGGCCAAATATGGAATCAGCTGAAGTGTCCATCAGTGCAGATGTGAGCCACCATGCCTGGCCCTCTTTGTTGTATACTTTCATCTTTATTGACTAGTTCCCTCTTTTAAGTTTCCAATGAATAGAAAAAAAATGGATAATGGATAAAGAAAATTTTATGTTTGTGTGTGTGTGTATATATATATAATATATATACAATTTTATGTATGTGTATATATATTATATTATATGCACATACACACACTGAAATATTATTCAGCCATAAAAAGAATGAAATCCTGTCATTTGCAGCAGCATGGATGGAACTAGAAGACATGTAAGTGAAATAAGCTAAGAACAAAAAGACAAGGATTGCATGTTCTCACTTACATATGGAAGCTAAAATAGTGGATCTCATGAAGATGGAGAGTAGGTTGGTGGTTATCAGAGGCTGGGAAGGGTAGGAGGGAGAGGGGGATAAAAAGAGGTTGATTAATGGGTACAAATATACACTTAGAAGAAATAAGACTTGGTGTTCAGTAGATCGGGAGGGTGTCTGTAGTTGACACTAATCTCTCGTATGTTTCAAAATAGCTAGAAGAGGATAATTCAGCCTAAAGAAAAGAGAGATATTTAAGATAATTACCTGGACTGGTTGCTGTGGTCCATGCCTGTATTCCCAGCATGTTGGGAGGCTGAGACAGGAGGATCGCTTGAGCCCAGGAGTTCGAGACCAGCTTGGCCAACATGGCGAAACATGGTCTCTACTAAGAATACAAAAACTAGCCAGGCGTGGTGGCATGTGCATGTAATCCCAGCTATGCAGGAGGCTGAGGCAGGAGAATCGCTTGAACCTGGGAGGTGGAGGTTGCGGTAAGCCAAGATTACGCCACTGCACTCCAGCTTGGGTGACAAAGTGAGACTTTCTCTGGATGTGATTGTATGAATGTATCAAATTATCACATGTACTCCCAAAATGTGTTCCCTAATAGGTATCAATTAAAAAATAAAATTAAAAATGTATTTTTACATATGTATGAATTTTGTGCGTGCTCAGGAGCTAACTGGCTGATTTGATAGAAAACATACTGCTCTATTTCTTTACACTTGGGTAGCCATTTTCTCAAAGGTGTTCTATGGAAGTTCTGGCTGCAAACTTGGTCTCATTCAAGAGCCAGCTGCCAATGAAGCCCTGCTAGGGCATTCTGCTTGTTTCTAGTGTCTTTTGATCACTTACTTCCCAAGGTTGATGTTTTGAAAGTGGATGTTAGAACCAAATTTCAGAGTTTCTTAACTTTGTCTTCATTCTGATTTAAAAGAAGTGAATTCTCTTGCTTTTCACCCATGTGGTTTTTTAAATCTTAGGAACAATCATTCTGAAAGTGGTTTCCTTTTTCCCTGCAGACAAGGCGCCTCTGTCGAAGAGCCTTCTGCTGGTCCCCAGTGCCCTCTCCCTCCTGCTAGCCCTCCTCCTGCCTCACTGCCAGAAGCTGTTTGTGTATGACCTCCACGCAGTCAAGAACGACTTCCAGGTGAGCTCTGCCTCATTGGCCCCTTGGAGGAGAGAGGACAGTTTTTTTTCCTAGATTTGTTTTTTCTTCCTAGATTTGCTTTTCTTCCTGCTATTAGTTCCTCAAAGCCCCCAATTTGTAAGAAATATTTATTATTAATATTTCATTAAGTAACTTTTCTAGTTGTATTTATTGATTTTTCAGCAAAGCAGATAATAATGAAGCAATGGCAGTATTTCCTTTTATTAGGCACATTTGTTTTCAGTTTCACTTTTTACTCAGAGAAGTGCAACTTATAACTTCAAGGGAATTAAAAACAATGTTAAATCTTTTTTTTAATGCCCAGTATGCATACTTAGCTTTGCCAAAACCTTGTCTCAGTTTGAATATTTGATTAGAGGAGCTAGGCTCTGTCAGCTGTATCAGATTGTGAATTTATGATAACTTTTACAGTGGTGGTTAAATGAAGTAAGAGATTTCTCTTGAGTTTCTGCTGTGGGAAAGAGCAGAAGTGCTTTTCAAGGTTTCTGGACTGATCTTGTTGAAAACGCTGGTGCTGGCTTCTTGTCTATGAATTGGAGTGTTAGTGCACATTCTGGTGTATAACTGCCACCCTTTCTTTGCTAAACACTTGGTTAGCCCATTTAAAGCATAATAATCCATTTCTTGAACACCTTTTCTTCATAGTCATGTAATTAATACCATTGCTTAGATTGGCTTCACCAACTTCCCGTGCAGGTCTTTCAGTTATTTATCCGTATTACTCATTTGTCAGAAGGTAGTATAGCTTCTGTATTATTTCGGTTGCTATAATGCAGTCGTTCTCAACCCTGGACACACATTAGAATCACCTGGAAAAACTTTAGAGCTCTGTCTGCATATCTATACTTATGTGAAGGTATAATTTATACCTAGATTTACATAAACCCACTATCTCACCCCAGAGCAACTGAGTCACAGAGTCTGGTGGTGGTAGCTGGGCATTGCTGTACATTTATAAACAACCCCCTGGGGATTCTAGTGTATGGCTGGCTTTGAGGACCACTAATGTAAGGGCCCCCGGGCCTTGGGTTGATACTTTCCTAATTTCTGGAGTTAATTTGGTTCGTTTGGCTAAGCCCACTCTGTGGACATCTGTGCTTTAAAGGTGGTGACCTGCTTGGATGGAAGAGGACCACCCTTCTGTCCAGGAATGGGAATAGCCACATCCACATTAACACTGTTAAAACACCTAAGAGGCTGTCGGTGTATATTCATGAGAGATATGGGAGTTTCAGTTCTGCCTTGGGAAATCTAAACACACACATACATATAAGAACGTGATTCTGTAGGTCACAGGTGTACATGACATCCTTGGGGGGTGATAAAGGAAGTAGGGACCAGTACTGGGGGAATACCTCCGGAGAGTCTTAGGGATGTGAGCTTTCAGTTTGGTCTGAAAGAAGGGATAAATGTTAATTAGCAATGAAGAGAAGGAAGGGCATTTTACTTCAGGAAGTAACATGAATTTCAGACCTTTAGGAGTGTGGTATAGGAAGCATACTTTGAGGCAAACCCAGGCTTTGAGGCAAACCCAGAGTTAGATTGGAGAAGTCCAGGAGGTCTCAGATAATGAAGGGCTTTATTTTGTAAGTTCTGAACCTCCAGATTTTGGCAATTAATGCAGAGGTACAGTCAGGTTTCTTTAGGTTGAGTTGCAGAAGCAGTGCTTTGCTGAGTGCAAGCCTGTAGCCAATTACCAGTCTTTAGGGGACATTCACCTGTATAATAATATGCAGTAGTTTATTCTTATACCAGCTCTCATAGTTTTGTGTCCTTGAGCATCATTGCAACACATAAATTGTTTAAAACTGTAGCTAGCAGCTTAATTTTCATTAACTGAAGAAAAATGGGGTTCTGGAAATGCAGTTTGTTGTATCTTAGTAATTACAAAGTTTCAATTTCCTTAATCCCCAGATTTTCTTAGTAGCTCTCAGAGCTTATGCCTGAGTAGAGTATTTTCATTGTAATATTAAATGTGGTGATAGAGGACTTGGAGCTGCCTCTTACGGTTTTTGAATCTGGTGTTCTGCGGAGATGACAGTCATCATCATCTGCCATTGGTAAAGTACTTGACAGTTTCCTTTGTGCTCTCATGTGTACTGCCTCATTGATCATATTGATAGAGGTATATGCTGCCTAAAGTTTCAGTGTGACTCTGGTACTGTTTCTTCTTGAGCCCAGCTATGGCCTCAACACAGCCTTGTAGGCAGCCATCCCCAGGTCGGCTGGGCTGGCAGGTGAGATGAACTCTGGTGGCCAGTACAGTCACGACAAAGACTCTTGCTGGTGTCTTGCTTGGAGTAGAGACATATGTGAAATGTTTTGACAGTTGATATGGTCAGACTTCTCATTTGTATTCTTATTTCTGTTGGCAAGAGCACAGGTTGTATGACTTTAGACAGATAGTTTCTCTGTGCCTCTTTTTCCGTAAGACAGTTGGCTGGGTGTGGTGGTTCACACCTGTAGTCTCAGCACCTTGGGAGGCCAAGGCTTGCGGATGGATTGCTTAAGCCCAGGAGTTCAAGACCAGCCTGGGCAACATGGCAAAGCACCATCTCTACAAAAATTACAAAAATTAGGCAGGTGTGGTGATGCACACCTGTAGTCCCAGCTACTCAGGAGGCTAGGTGCGAGTATTACCAGTCCAGAAGGTTGAGCCTGCAGTGAGATGTGATCACATCAGTGCGCTACAGCCTGGACAACAGAGTGAGACCCTGTCTCAAAAAAAAAAAGAGTTAATATTACCAATGTTCGCAGCAGCATTATTCACAATAGCAAAAAAGTAGAAACCCAAATGCCTATTAACAGATAAATGGATAAACAAAATGCGGTGTATACATACCATAGAATATTATTCAACTATAAATGAGAATGAGATTGATACATGCTTTACCATGAACCTTGAAAATACTATGCAAAGTGAAATGAGCAAATGCAAAAGGACAAATATGTGATCTTATTTACATGAGGTATCTAGTATAAGCAAATTCATAGAGACATTAAGTAGAATAGTGTTTCCTGGGGCTATGGGGAGAAGGAACAGGAAGTTAGCATGGTGTTTCTGTCTCGGATGATGAAGAGTTCTGGAAATAGATAGTGGTGATGATTGTACAGTATTGTGAATTTGCTTAATACCACCGAATTGTATACTCAGTAGTTAAAATTATAACTTTTGTATCTGTTTTACCACAATAAAAATACAAAGAAAAGTTGTCGTTAATATTTGTTTTACCTATCTCATAAGGTCATCGTGAAGGGGAAATAAGATTAGGATGTTTTCAAATGTCATTGGGATTATCTTTAAAAATCTGAAAAATGTTTAAGCAGACTCAAAAATAGGCCTTTGAGTAGCTCTTCTTTTTTTTTTGTATGTCCCCTTATATGTTTTTATGCAACCAGAAGTTGGGTGAAACAATGATTTAAATAAACTAATATTTCAAACCTAGGCATATTTAGCAACAGTTGCCATAAGTTACTTTGCATAGTTGCTCTGAAGTAGGTTGATGATTAAAATTAAGCTCAGAAATGTATATTTTTGAGTTTATACCTAAGTTGTTTTTCAGTTACACCTTTGTCTTATTCAATAGCATAAAAATGAACATTTGTTAGCCTTTCATTCTAGCTTACGTATGTAATTTTTAAAAATCTTACTAAACACAATCCTAAAATTTCTTATAGACAGTTTTCTGTTATCTTAATGAGAATATGTTTTCTTATAAGCACAAAAAAATTCAAGTACCTTTCGTGCCACTGTTGGAAGGAATTTTTACTGTAAGAGACTTGAGCTCAGAGAACATACATGTATAATTTTCCTTTTGTGTGTGCATTATGATTTTGTTTAGACTATTAAAAATAGACAGCGTAAACATAACAAATTTGCTAAGGAAGAGATCCGAACAAATTTTACTCTCGTTTGTTGTTCTTTTTTAAATCCCCATCTAGATTTGGAGGTTGATATGTGGAAGAATAATTTGCCTTGATTTGAAAGATACTTTCTGCAGTAGTCTGCTTATTTATAATTTTAGGATATTTGAAAGAAGATATGGAAGCAGAAAATTTGCAGTAAGTTTTTATGTATTTTGTCTTTGCCACTTAGGCTATGGAAAAAAATTTTGTTTAAATGGATTTTATTTTGTTAAACTTGGTGTTATTATTTACAGTTATTTTTAAAATTATACTATTCTGTATCTGATTTGAGGCATATGGACATTAACCAAAGAAAATTTTAGAATAGCATAATAGTAATAGTGATAATGATAATATATAGTATTAGTTGTGAACAGCTAATACAAATTTTAATACTTTGACTTTAATAAAATTATAATTTATTTTGCTTAGTGGTTTGTGTTTTACTTGTTAAAAATATATCTTCAACATACTTAAAAATTATGGATGTTAATACATTTGAGCAATATGGGTTTACTCTGCCGATTTTCAAAAGTCTGTTTTAATAAAAACAATTAATTTTGAATATATATACACACATAAGTATGTGTGTACACACACACACACACACACACACACACACACACACACATACAAATACATACCTCTGAGCTGATTCTAGCTGAATAAATGTTACTTTATTTTTAGGAGACTCATCTCTATAATTTTTCTGCTGTTTTATCTTATAGTCCTTTTTGCTGGGTTCCTGGGTTTTGTCAGCCTTATTTGACTTTCTCCTCGTCGAAGCTATGCAGTATTTCTTTGGCATCACTGCAGCTAGTAATTTGCCTTCTGGATTGTAAGTAGCACTTAAAGATTGACTTAATTTAGAACGACTTGAATGTGATTTAAAGTGTTATTATATGTGAAAGTCAGTAAAAGAATATTTTAAACTTTTAGATATAGTAAAATTGATTTTATATGTAAAAAGTCTAATCTATGCCTACGTTTTTATTATGTTCTTGAAATAGAATCAATTTTATATTCTGTCTTTAAAATTTATTTCACTTTTTTTTTTTGATACAGAGTCTTGCTCTGTCACCCAGGCTGGAGTGCATTGGTGTGATCTTGGCTCACTACAACCTCCACCTCCCGGGTTCGAGTGATTCTCCTACCTTAGCCTCCCAAGTAGCTGGGACTATAGGTGCGTGCCACCACGCCCAGCTAATTTTTGTAGTTTTTAGTAGAGATGGGGTTTCATCATGTTGGCCAGGCTGGTCTCAAACTCCTGACCTCAGGTGATCCATCCTCCTTGGCCTCCCAGAGTGCTTGAGCCACCATGTGAGCCACCGTGCCCAGCCACATTCATCTTTTAGCTTTGAAATTTTGTGTTTTAGAGAATTTTAAATGAATTTCCTATTCTGATCCTGATAGAATTAGTTTTGTGTGTTTTTATAATGAAATTTGTCTTTGTAATTTTATGAACTAAACACAAAAATATAGTTTAATTAGGTTAGGAAACAAAATTAATTTGTATGAAGTAAAGCTTCTGAAGAATAATTTTTAAAAGCTGATAATGTTTTATACATTTCCGTCAAACATAAAACAAAGCCAGTGTATGGGTTATAACTTTGTAGACAACCTGCAGTGGCCAACTCACTCAGAATTTGTATGCTTTCATATTGCGTTGATCTTCTTTAAAAAAAAAAAAAATCATGTATTAGTGTGTGAAATAACTAGAATCTAGGAGCAGAGTTGACAGAGCGAGACTCTATCTCAAACAAACAAACAAACAGGGCAGGTGCGGTAACAGCCCGTAATTGATGGTAGCAAAGCTTCAAATACGGGCTTGCGCCTGTAATCCCAGCACTTTGGGAGGCTGAGGTGGGCGGATCATGAGGTCAGGAGTTCGAGACCAGCCTGGTCAATATGGTGAAACCCCATCTCTACTAAAAATACAAAAATTAGTCAGGCATGGTGGCGGGCACCTGTAGTCCCAGCTGCTCAGGAGGCTGAGGAAGAATCGCTTGAACCTGGGAGGCAGTTTCAGTGAGCTGAGATCATACCACCGCACTTCAGCCTGGGCGAAAGAGTGAGACTCTGTCTCAAAAAACAAAAAACCCCCCCAAAACCATGTATTAGTGTGTGAAATAATTAGAATCTAGGAGCAGAGTTGTTAGCACATGTAAATGACCTCCAAGCATCTGAATGAAGTATCTGAGACACTATTTGGGAAATGAGATAGTATGAAATATAGATACCAGATATTTAAAATTCTGTGTGTACTATCTTCAGTCTTCTTTTAATTTTAAATATGTGTTTTGAGAACTATTAAGCTACTGTATGTATCTTGATTCGAATTCACTTTGGATCCCTATTTTAAAATTATAATTAGTGTTCTAATAGCTTTCATACCTGCGTTGTTAATATTTACAGTGTAACTCCCTTTTGTGAATTATAATTGCTGTGAATATCCATGAATGTTGACCTTTAGCTGTTGTAATAATGTATGATTCTGAATAATGTTTGAATGGAGACGTAAAGTTCTGTGTCATAATTAGCGTGAAGTTTGAATTCCACGGGTGGTCATTGTAATTAGACTGAGAAGTTAAAGTTGAGTATTCTGTTATTGGGGAAAATAGTGTAGACATCAGGAATGATTCCACGTTGACTCAGGGAAGCAGCAGCATTGCTAAATCATAATTTTTCCCCAAAACATTTCCTATCAGGCCAGTTCTTTTTGGTTCCCTGTATAGCCTGCTGAGTGATGGGAGGTATGTGTGTCTGTGTTAGAATGAACTTTGGAGATGGATAGTAACTTAGCATTAATTCTTATTTACACTATCTCCCTGTCTTCTTTTTCCTGCTGCACGTAGAGTTGAATGACAGTAGAACTTTCATATTCATTTATTTAATTATGGAATCCTATTAACTTGTGCATAAAAAGAAGATTGATTCAATTTTGAAGTTGGCGGGAATATTTTTGCTTACTCTCAGAAGAGGGAAGGGATTTACCTACTTAAATCTCAGTTTGTAGCAAGAGTTACAAACTTGAATAAGTTGAAAAGTTATAGCATCCCCTTTGAAAGACACTATAAATGTTAATTCAGCCATCTCCTGAATAAGAATATATTTCTCTTCCTTTTCAAGTCACAAACATTATAGTATATATTATGACTTTTTGAAATCTTGAGGCTTTCTCAAACATAGACTTTTTGGAACACAATTAGTTCAACAAGTAAACTTTGTATTCTGTAAATATATCTCTTACAAAACATTTTTATTAGTATTACTTTTTGGTAGAGAAAAGGTTTTGCTATGTTGTCTAGGCTGATCTTGAATTCCTGGGCTCAAGTGATCCTCCTTTCTTGGCCTCCCAAAGTGCTGGGATTGCAGGTGTGAGCCACTGTACCCAGCCACAAATATATCTTTTATTGATGATAGCAAAGCTTCAAAAACTAAAGAGAGGAAACTACTGGTTTTTTTTTTTTTCTTCAAATCAGTGTACTTCATGGACACAGGGAGGGGAACATCCCACACTGGGGGCTGTCTGTGGGTGGGGGGCAAGGAGAGGGAGAGCATTAGGACAAATACCTAACGCATGCGAGGCTTCAAACTTGGATGACGGGTCAATAGGTGCAGCAAACCACCATGGCACATGTATACCTCTGTAACAAACCTGCACATTCTGCACATGTATCCTGGAACTTAAAGTAAAATAAAAATATGTGCTTTACAGCTTTCAGTGTTTTTCGCCTAACATCTAATATTTTTCTTTCCCATCAGTACCAAATTTGTTTGCACTCTTCTACAGTTCTTTACTTCCTATTTAATTCTCTCTTTTTTTTTTTCTTCACCTCACCAGTACAGGAACTTCTCTTATAAAGGTCACCAGTGGCCACCTAATTTCTAAAGCCACTGGCCATCTTCTTTAACCTTTCAGTAGCACATTAAATGCTTTTAACCTCTCCCTATTTCATGAAACCACCTGCTCTCTTGAGTCCCACACACTACTCCCTGCTAGTTCTTTTTGACCTTAGTTACTGTGTGCTGCTCTTTTCTCATACTTTTTGGGCTATCTTGTGCACTTTCTTGATTTCAACTACAGTGAACATGTATTGTTTGCTTCCAAGCTCTCTATTTCCAACCCCCACTACTCTCTTATTCTGTTGCCCAGGCCTGGAGTACAGTGGTGAGATCATAGCTCACTGTAACCTCAAACTCCTGGGTTCAAGCAATCCTCCTAGCTCAGCCTTCTGAGTAGCTGTGACTATAGGTGTGCCACCATGCCCAGCTAATTCTTTTTTTTTTTTTTTGAGACAGAGTTTCACTCTTGCCGCCCAGGCTGCAGTGCAATGGTGCGATATCTGCTCACTGCAACCTCTGCCTCCCTGGTTCAAGCGATTCTCCTGCCTCAGCCTCCTGAGTGGCTGGGTTTGCCACCATGCCTGGCTAAGTTTTTTGTATTTTTAATAGGACAGGGTTTCACCGTATTGGTCAGGCTGGTCATGAACTCCTGACATCAGGTGATTCACCCTGCCTTGGCCTCCCCAAGTGCTGGGATTATAGGCATGAGCCACCATGTCTGGCCATTTTTTTTTTTTTTTTTTTTTTTTTTTGGTTTGTGCTTTTTTTTTTTTTTTTTTTTTTTGTAGAGATGGGGTCTTGTTATTTTGCCCAGGCTGGTCTCAAACTTCTGGCCTCCAGTGATCCTCCCGCCTTGGCCTTCCAAAGTGCTGGGATTATAGGCATGACCACCATGTATGGTCTAGAGTCTTATTTCCTAATGATTTATAGACTCAAAGAAAACTCATGTTCAGAAGCTCTCTTCTCTTCTGGCCTCCTCTCTATCCTCTTCCCCTCTTTCTTCTTATTTTAGTTAGTAGCATCTACTCAGAGTCATGCAAGCTGGAAATCTTTCATTTTGCTTGTCAATGGGGTAGGTCACTGAGTCTTAGTTTTTATTTTTTGAAATTTGAACTTTCAGATTCAAGGGGTACACATGAAGTTTTGTTATATGAGTATATTGCATGATGCTGAGGTTTGGGGTACATATGGTCCCGTCACCCAGGTAGTGAGCGTAGTTTCCAGTAGTTAGTTTTTCAACCCTTGCTCCCTTCCCTTCTTCCCCCTCTAATAGTCCTCTGTGTCTGTTGCTGTCATCTTGATGTCCATGTGTACCCAGTGTTTAGCTCCCACTTTTAAGTGAGTTCATGTGGTATTTGGTTTTCTGTTCCTGCATTAATTTATTTAGGATAATGGCCTCCAACTGCATCCATGTTGCTGCAAAGGACATGATTTCATTCTTTTTTATGGCTGCATCATATTCCATGGTGCGTATGTACCATATTTTCTTTATCCAGTCCATTGTTGATGGGCACTTAGGTTGATTCCATGTCTTTGCTATTGTGAATAGTTCTGCGATGAACATGTGAGTGCATGTGTCTTTTTGGTAGAATGATTTATTTTCTTTTGGCTATGTACTCAGTAGTTGGATCATTGGGTTGAATGGTAGTCCTGTTTTAAGTTCTTTGAGAAATCTCCAAACTGCTTTCCATAGTGGCTGAACTAATTGACATTCCCACCAACAGTGTATAAGAGTTCCCTTTTCTCACTTACATACAACAGTGTATAAGTTTCCCTTTTCTTCCCAGATCTCCCCAGCATCTGTTGTTTTTTTGGCTTTTTAGTAGCCATTCTGACTGGTGTGAGATGGTATCTCATTATGGTTTTGATTTGCATTTGTCTGATGATTACCGTTGAGCATTTTTTCTTGTGTGTTGGCCGCTTGTGTGTCTTCTTTTGACAAGTATCTGTTTGTGTCTTTTGCCCACTTTTTAATGGGGTTGTTTTGTGCTTGTTGAATCAAGTTCCTTATAGATTCTGGATATTAGACCTTTGTCAGATGCAGTTTGTGAGCATTTCTCCCTTTTATAGGTTGTTTGTTTACTCTGTTGATAGTTTATTTTGCTGTGCAGAAGTTCTTTAGTTTAAATGGGTCCCGTTTGTCAATTTTTGTTTTCATTGCAATTGCTTTTGAGGACTTAGTCACAAATTCTTTCCCAAGGCTGATGTCCAGAGTGGTGTTTCCTAGGTTTTCTTCTAGGATTCTTATAGTTTGAGGTCTTACATTTGTATCTTTAATCCATCTTGAGTTAATTTTTGTATGTGGTGCAAGGTAGGGGTACAGTTTCATTCTTCTGCATATGACTAGCCAGCTATCCTAGCACCATTAATTGAATAGGGAATCCTTTCACCACTGTTTATTTGTGTGAACTTTGTTGAAGGTCAGATGGCTGTAGGTGTGAGGCTTTATTTCTGGGTTCTCTATTCTGTTCCACTGGTCTATATGTCTGTTTTTGTACCAGTACCATGCTGTTTTGCTTTGTAGCCTTAGAGTCTGAAGTCGGGTAATGTGATGCCTCTGGCTTTGTTTTTTCTTTTCTTTTCTTTTTTACTTAGGATTGCCTTGGCTATTTGGGCTCTTTTCTTGGTTCTATATGAATTTTAGAATAATTTTTTCTAATTCTGTGAAAAATGACATTGTAGTTTGCTAGGAATAGCCTTGAATCTGTAGATTGCTTTGGACAGTATGGCCATTTTAATGATATCAATTGTTTCAGTCCATGAGAATAGAATGCTTTTTCCATTTGTTTGTGTCATCTTTGATTTTTTTTCTTTTTTCTTTTTTTTTTTTTTTGAGATGGAGTCTCACTCTGTCACGCAGGCTGGAGTGCAGTGGTGCGATCTTGGCTCACTGCAGCCTCTGCATCCCAGGTTCAAGCGATTTTCCTGCCTCAGCCTCCTGAGTAGTTGGGACTACAGGCACGTGCAACCATGCCTGGCGATTTTTTTTTTTTTTTTTGTATTTTTGTATTTTTGTATTTTTTAGTAGAGACGGGTTTTCACTATGCTAGCCAGAATGGTCTCGATCTCCTGACCTCATGATCAGCCTAGCCTGCCTTGGCCTCCCAAAGTGCTGGGATTATGGGTGTGAGCCACCACACCTGGCCATCTTTGATTTTTTTCAGCAATGTTTTGTAGTTCTTGTAGAGATCTTTTACCTTCATGCTTAGATGTATTCCTAGGTATCTTCTTCTGTGTGTGTGGCTGTTGTAAATGGGGTTTTGTTCTTGGTTTGACTCTCAGCTTGAACTAAGTTATTAGTGTATAGAAGTACTACTACTGATCTTTCTTCATTGATTTGGTATCCTGAAACTCTAGAGAAGTTGTTTCTCGATTCCTGGAGCCTTTTGGCAGAGTCTTTAGGGTTTTCTAGGTAGAGAATCATATCGTCAGTAAAGGGAAATGGTTTGAGCTTTCCTATTTGGATGCCTTTTCTTTCTTTCTCTTGCCTAGTTGCTCTGGCTAGGACTTCTGGCACTGAGTCTTAGTAATTCAAAGTCCTGAATAACTCATTCATTCATCCCTTCTTCTCTACTTCTACTGTCATTGTTATCCCAGTCTCAACTCTTAAATCTTTTCTTGTCTACTTTTTTACAGTAATTCTCTAACTAGTTTCCCTGTGAATTTCAAAGCATTCCACACAATGCTGTCAGAAGTTATCTTTCTAAAATGCAGGCTTAACCACACTAGTTCTTTTAAAAACCCTCAAATTCTCATATCCATCAGAATAAAAGTCAGATTCCTCCAAGATGCTATCCAGGCAGTCTGGAATAGTGGAAATAGCACAGTCTTTGCCATCAGACAGACCAGATTTGAGATTCCAGCTCTGCCACTTACTAGTTATGTGAAATCTTGAGCAAGTTACTTATCTCAAGCTCCATTTCCTGAGCTCAGTTTATAGATGACCCTCACATGTCAACGGTGGGTATTCTGTGCTTCAAAGGGTAGCCCCGAGAATTAAAGAAGCTCTCTTACATCAAACTTCTAGAAACAAGCGTATACCCCTTCCATGTATTGTTTTTCTTAAGAGACAAGGTCCATGTTATCCAGGCTGGCCTTGAACTCCTAGGCTCAAGCCCAGTCCTCCCACCTGAGCCTCCTGAGTAGCTGGGATTATAGGCATGTGCTACCATGCCCAGCTCTTCTTTCCTTTCAGAGCCCTCCTCATCTGACCACCAGCTAGTCTCAAACCACTTTCCAACTGGTCATCCAGCTTTCTTCGCTTGCTACGCATTTGCATTCTCATGCCTACTTGGTTTGCTTTCTGCTTCCTTTTGCCCTTTGGCAGGATTGCCCTTGTATGTGTATTACAGCACACGTATTATCTCTATTAGTATTTATTATATTACCTTGTCATTGTCTGTGCCTCCTAGGCTACCCACTGACTCTTTAAGGGAGAACCAAGTTTCACTTTATGTGCACATTGCCCTACATTCAGTAATGGTGAAGGGCAAGCAAGCCTTGATTACAGTGTAGCCCCAGTAAGACTGTAAGGGAGGGCCTTTGAACCACAGACTTGTTCATTTCTTTTTCCAGTGCTTTGCATAGAAATTGTAGCTGACATGATGGATGCTCATGACTATGATTTAAACTCAGAAAATGTAACCGTTAGGTTTTGAAAGTAGAAATAACTCCATTATTAAAAGCCATATGTATTAGGCATTTCTAGTAACTCATTCCTGCCACACATCTGGCCTTATATACCTATTATTTTTTGTTAGTATTTATATGTGGATGTTACATTGTTTTCCAGAATACAGTGAAATTTTGAATTTTTACGTATTATGTTAAAATATATTTGATTATAATGCTAAGTAAATTATTTTAAAAATAACTTTTAAGTGATCTACAGTTAAATTATAATTTAGATTATTTACAATTTTATTGTGAGAATCACAGCATACATTTTCACTTTGTTGATTTTGTATCAGTAGAATCTTTTGTTGTGCTTTTTGCTTTGAGACTAAACTCTTCTTATCAAGACAAGCTCTGGCAGATAACTTTTCCATCTAATACATTTAAGAGTAGATTCATCTGTATGGTTGAGAGTAGGCTCTGACTATGTATATGTGTACAATAAACTTACATGTCAAATACAAGAGTTGTTTTTCTTGTTTTAGAAATAATTATATGTTAATTATATGTAAGATATATAAATAATAAAGATATAATATCTATAAAGATACTTATTTTATGTGTATAAAGTATATAAAGATACGTATTTTAATCATTTGACTATTGAAACTAAAAACTTTGTATTTTTCTCTTTTTTGAGAAACTGCATCTCAGTACCACTTTATGTAGCTCTGAGAATGTTTAAGCATGTTTGCTTTTTATTATTGAAAAATTGGTGTTCGACATGAAAGAACTGACTTTGGTTTCTAGGTGTGGTTCTTTAGCTGAGCAAGTCACATAACCTCTTCAGACCTCAGTTTTTTATATTTGGAACAGAAGAATTGTACTAAGAAGATTGTCTAAGGGACCGTCTAGTGCAAAAATGCCATTTTATGATTAGACTTTTTGTGTTTATTTATTTATTTATTTTTAAATAATATGAATTTACCTATGTTCTTTCCAGAAATCAATTTCGTTTTTTTTTTTGAGACAGAGTCTCACTCTGTTGCCTAGGCTGGAGTGCAATAGAGCGATCTGGGCTCACAGCAGCCTCCGCCTCCTGGGTTCAAGCTATTCTACTGCCTCAGCCTCCCAAGTAGCTGGGATTACAGGAATCTGTCATCATGTCTGGCTAATTTTTGTATTTTTAGTAGAGACAGGGTTTCACGATGTTGGCCAGGCCGGTCTCGAACTCCTGACCTCAAGTGATCCGTCCACCTCAGCCTCCCAAAGTGCTGGGATTACAGGCGTGAGCCACCATGCCCAGCCAGAAATAAATTTCTAACCAATGCATATATTTGGTTCTAAGCCCCAGTAGGATATGATCATGTTAAGAATGATAAAGGTAATTTAGCAGAGAGGAAGTTATAGTTGAATCATTTATTTTACTTCCATAAGTATTAAGAATAATAGGGGCTTTACCGATTATACTTCAGTTTTTTTCGGTTAGATGGATAAGTTACTTGGTTTGTTACTTTATTAGGAGAAATTAAATGGCAAGGCTAAGAATCCAAGTTTCCCATAGTACTATTTATACTGTGACATATGGCCTGGGAAAAAAATCAATTAACCTCTTTTGTAAAAATGGGATCTTTAACCACATAAGAAGAACAAACTGTTTGTATTGGAGAATGGCATTTCACCATATAGTAGATAGATGATAGAAATGAACTTGGATTGTTGGATAGAAATAGCATCTCAGGTTAGATTTTCATCATTAATCCTAAATCGGGTTTGGTGCGTAGTAGGCTCTCAGTGTTTGAATCACCATCCTCTGTTTTCAAAAGGATAAATTCAGAGTAGGGGAGGGCTGATGGGGATGGCCTTTACAGGCCCCTTGGGTTCTTGTTCCTGTTAATTTTGCCTTGTAGTAAGTAACAGTAATGAGTTCAACATAATTTCTTATATAGGAATTCTGGAAGTCGGTGTTTGGGACATGAAGTACTGGATTTATAATTCCATTCCTAGTGCAAATTAGACCTAAGGGAGCTGCATCTAAATAGAAAATAATTTAATCAAATTATTTTGTATGGTAGTTTGATTTCCCCCATACTGACTTGATTAACATACATGTGTCACTTGCACATAGAAATGCAAAAAGTTAATTATCTGTGTAAATAAGGCTTGACTGTGAAAGACAAATCAGATGCTTTTCTCCGAATAATTCACAAAAATGTTTTATATAAGTTTTTAAAATGAAGATGATGAATTTATTTTTTTCAAGAGAAAAGGGACTTGATAATATTTTACGGAATATCCATTGATGCCAGAGTAGTCAGTGAAGTGAATTTTGATGGGATTGAGATAAAGAACCTTTCTATTATTCATAACATTTCACTGTTTATATTACTTAGTGACCGTAAACTACCAGATCGGAAACTTTTTCTGCGCATGCTTCGAAGGTAATTACGGTATAGCATGACACTAATGACTCGAGCCTGAAATTGTTTTGAAACGATGTAGTAGAGAATCACATCCAGACATGTGCTGAGGTTCATGAGGAAGGTGGTAAAGGCTCCCCAGGGGCTATAACTGTTCTCCCCCGTTCCCAGCATCAGGAAAGCAAAACAGATGTGGAAGGGCATAAAGCAGACGAGCACCTGCACCAGCAGTGTGATGATGATCCTTATGGACTTCTCCTTGACTTTGGGTTTCAGCTTAGATGTCCTGCCATGAAGGAGATTATGAATAATGACCAAGTAGCACCCAATCATGATGAACAAAGGAATCAAGAAAAAAAATGTCAGTCGAGTAAAGTTTAGCACATTCACAGCTTTTAGATAGACGATGTCAGAAATCTTGAGGCAGGTGGCGGGGGTGGAGTCTTTATCCGGGTCTTTATGGAGCAGTAGCAGAGGGATGGTTGTGGTCAGGGTCATTATCCAGACTCCCACACACGCCAGCACGGCTTTGCACGTGTTTTTAAGTTCTTTGGCATACTTCGGCTGCACAATGGCCATGTATCTGTCGGCACTAATAAAGGCAAGAAGCCATAGAGCAATGCTTGGGTAAAACACTGTAAGAGCTCCAAGAATCTGGCAGAAGTACTCTCCAAATGGCCATTCATCTTTTGCATAATAAAACATTCGAAAGGGTAGAGTCATTATAAATATCAAATCCACTAATGCCACATTCATCATGTAGATGGTTACAGTGGTTCTCTTTTTGGTGGTACAACTGAAAACCCATAATGCAGTGATGTTAACAAATAATCCAATTATGAAGATACAGCTATAGAAGACAAGGGCTGCAATTTTGTATTCATCTGGATGTGAGTTGTTAAAAGGGACAGGTTGATCTTGATTGTTCAGGGTGATCATTTTACAGCTTGTTGGTGGGCATGATACTTAGAAACTGTAAAAATAGTTAAGAAAAATAAGAATAGTTAAGAAAAATAAGAATAAAATCCTCGGTTAAAAAACAAATGCTTAACATTCTCCCACTCAGCTTGACTGCCAGTGAATTTTGAGTTTGAGAGCATTTTATGTTAAACTCACTCTATGTGTCTTAGTATTTATTAAGGAATCCGTTCCCTAGAGATTATTACTAATTTGTATTAATCTATTAAAATGATCCTGGTGTCATAATTCACTGGGCAAGTTCATTCATCTCTCTCCCTGCTCACTTCCCTTCTTCCTACAAGAATAACTATTTCTTTACAATTTTTTCCTATAGTATGAAATTAGGTAGCAGTTGTTCCTGTAATAAGTGTCCTTTAATTTGGACTAATTGGGAAAAGGCGATTCTGAATTTTGACTCTTAATACAATTGTTTGCCACTTTTTATCATCTTCATTCTGTTAAAATATTTTGCAACCAGATGTGTAATGTCCAAATAATGTATTTTTGTTCATTAAATACAATTTTAATATATAAAATGTGTAAATAGAAACATGGAAAATTAATCAAGGAACCATTCGGCTGGTTAACTACTGAGCATTCACAGTAGTTCTCATTTGAGAGAGAATGGGAACTTTTCCTTTGTTACAGCTGCAGCCCTACTGTCTGTTGAGCATGTAATAGGTACTCAATAAATACATATTTACTGAATTGATGAATAAATAAAGGAAGGAACTTTTGATGAGATGACTCACAGCAACTCTACTTTGCTAAAAAACTCTAGTTTGTAAATCTCTAGTTTGAAAATGAAGACTTGTGTAGCTGGCTATTAAACTTTTTGTTTTTTTAAAGTGGAAACACTTCATAGTATTTATTACCTTATGTTCTCTTTAAATTATCATAGGTCTAGAAACAGCAGTGTTTTGTGCCATGGTCAGCAGATCAAGAACTAGACTGTTAGAGCAATAGATGAGCTATTTTCTAATGCACAATTGGGAGTACGTAATGCCAAGTCTTCCAAGTTTTGTGATTTCAGCTGCTCTACTTCAGTGGTTCACAGAAAGCAGCACCTTGAAAACAAGCTAGTGCTATTAGTAACTTTCATATCCTCATTCCATCTAGATTCAGAAGCTTCAATATTATTTAAATTTAAAAAATTTTCAAAGTAAATCCAAATAAGGAGTATCCAAGACAAGTAGATATTAATAAGAAGTCATTCAGTAACTTGATGTGTATGTAGAAACTAACAAATTTCCATCACCAAAAAAAAAACCTGCCCATTTTAAATGGAAAGGAGATTATTTGGGGTTGCAAATATCATTGACTCCTCAGTGTGAAACTTCACTCCCCCATGATACAACACCAACAACAGACTTTAAAAATAGACTTTGCTGCAATGAGATGGAACCTGTGGCATCCCCTTGAAATATAGAGGTGGATGAAAAGTTTCCTTCAAAAATGTCACTTTGCAGAGTGGGCTGTCTTGAAATCAGCCCAGAATTTCTCTTTAAGGAAAACTGTGGGGGAGATTTGCTGTCTGTGGTCAGTGGCATCATGGGCTATTGATCATTAAAAATTAACTTGAGCAATTGCTGTGGATAAACACAAGAAACGTGCCTGCCTGCCTGCCTGCCTGCCTTCCTGCCTTCCTGCCTTCCTGCCTTCCTGCCTTCCTGCCTTCCTGCCTTCCTGCCTCCCTGCCTCCCTTCCTTGCTTCCTTCCCTCCCTTCCCTTCCCTTTCCCCTTTCCCTTCCCCTTTCTCTTCCCCTTCCCCTTCCCCTTCCCCTTCTCCTTCTCCTTCCCCTTCCCTTTCTTCCCTTCTTCTCCTTTCCTTCTCAAATATTTAGGTTAAATATGATTTTGGAGTATAATTCTATATATTTAAAAACATACTAAATTTTCCAAATATTGGTGTGACTGGAATATTAATTTCTATCAAATGAGGAAAGTGTTACAGAGAAAAATTATATCTCTAGTGTCATTCAAAGGAGAGTAATCATGGAGGCTTAAATCTTATGTTTAACTGGAATGAATTCTTAAATAGTAGCAATTATAATATAAATGAAATTTTGTATTTGTTTTTCTTTTTTAGTATTGCATCAGGACTCCCTTCACCTATCCTCATCATTTAATTTTGTGACATAAGTCCTGTACTTACAAACCATCTTGAGTCTTTTTTCCCACGTTATGCTCAAGCAGTTTTTATGTAGCTTGTCACGAATACTTGTATTCATTTGCTCAAGTTTGAAAAAAAATGAGTGATGCATATGTTTTAAAGGCATTATAGTATTGATTGTGCTCTGCAAACACAGAGCACAATTCCACTTTTCCACTTTTCCACTTTTTACTATTTAAACAATTCTAAATGTTTAACAATTCTAAATGTTTAAAAAGTTTAACAATTCTAAATGTTTAAAATGTTTAACGTTTAACAATTCTAAATGTTTAAAATGTTTAACAATTCTAAATGTTTAAAAGTAGGATCCTTGATTATTTGCTTCTGCTTTGCCACATACATTTTTGGATAAATACTGAAAAGTGATTGACTTTAAAGTCAGCTTTTTAAAAGCTGTAGATACCATGACTATCTGTAGCTTTTCTTTTCTTAACCATTATTTCATGAAACAACGTAATTGAAACCATGTGATTAACATTTCTAAATATACATATGATTTACCATAAACATTTTCTTAAGTTGAAAAAAAATTACATTTACTATTAATGTAAAGCAATATTGAAAATCAATGTAAAATCGTATTGTGGAAAGATGATTATATAGCCTATTTCAAGGTCTTTCACCGACATAGTTTGTTACGTTTATTTTTTAATTATTATTATTATTTTTTTATAGAGACGGGGTCTCACTATGTTGCTCCTGGGCACAACTGGTCCTCCTGCCTTGGCCTCCCAAAGTGCTAGAGTTACAGGTGTGGGCCATCACGCCCAGCCTGTATTATTAAAATGAAATGATTTTTGAAATATAGTACATAAAGCATTACTTTTGACAATAATCGTGAAGTTAATGAAATGCTGCTTACCTCCTGTCCATCAAAAGTCTGTATGAGAGATGAACATTTTTCAGCACTTCCACTTCTGTCGAAGGGATATCTTTGTGTTGCTTCTGTTAAAATAGCTCTTTCTGGAAACTGTGTGTTTAAGAAATGTTTTATTTTGTTTTAGACTCTTTTGTTGCTTTAAAAAGTAGTTTCCAGTGTAATGCTTGGCATGGGAGTTGGTGCTGGGCTGCCTGTAATTGCTGCTTTGTCTCAGGAAGTGCTCTCTGAAATAGGCTTTTTCACTTTATGACTTTACCCTGGATGTGGTTTTTCTCTCTCACAAATGATTTGTTTATGAAGTCACACTTAGCATAAATTCCCCTTGAAATGATGGCATATATTTAAGAGAATTATATACAAAGGACAAAATTTCTTCAGTTTGTGTACTTTGATGCTTAAAGTCTGCCTCATCTATGGAAAGAGAAGGAGATTTGATATTGAGTAAAAGGGGGTTTAAAGTCTAGCTTCTTTGCTTTTCTAAGCTGTGTGACTTTGTCTAGTTACCTGCCCACTCTGACTAACCCTTTGTTCCTACTTCATTTCTGTACAGTTGAAATAGAGATAATACCATCCAGCAGGATTGTGAGGGCCCTAAACCAGAAAGGTCCCAAGTGCTTAACATAGTACCTGGCACTTAGTAGGTAATCCTAAATGGAGTCTGACTTTTTACTACCAAGTTCTTAAAAATCATAGAATATCCACATTTCCACTTTTTACTATTTAAACAATTCTAAATGTTTAAAAGTAGGATCCTTGATTATTTGCTTCTGCTTTGCCACATACATTTATCCACTTTAGTTTGCTGTATTTTGTAAGTCTGCTTTTCTAGTGCATGGAAGTCTAGAAATAATTTCTTTTGCATAAAAATTTCTGCAAATCTTAACAGAAAGGACTCTGAAGTCTTTAGTGGACCGATTTACATATTAGGAGTGTTTTCACCTAAGAAGGGAAATGAAACCAGCAGTAAGGGAAGTGAGCAACGAATCACTGCCTGCCTTGTTAGGTTAATTTTTTTTTTACTTTCTCATTTCTTAAAAAAAATTTATCCTCTCATTTGCTTATCCTAAAATTTTAATTATCTTTATATTTGGTTTGCATGGTTTGTCAACTTTTAAAAGGTTCATGAACTTAAATGTATTTGTTTTTTGAATTTTAGACAGTTTGGGGTCATCCTTTTTTTTTTTTTTTTTCCTCAGACAAAACCATAGTAAGTCTGTGGCTTAGAAAAGTTACTTAAATCCTTGTCTCTGGTGATAAAATAGTTTTGATATTTTATCAAATAGCAATGCCAGAATGATGGGTTTTAGCAGTATTGGAGACAACCATAGCAACTATTTCTTGTGTGGATGAAGAAATTGAAGAGCAGTTCCTTGCTTAAGAACTCAGGGTAAAGCCAGGCCCAGTTTCTCCCACTGTAATAACTTCTTCCAAGGTGATTATATTGATCTGTCCACTAGATATGACTTCTTATGGCTGAATTACGTTCATCAATTTTTGATATGTGATGTTATATTTCATACATCACACAGGAGTTTGATATTTCAGCTGGACAGAAATCGGCCTGCCTGCAGACCTAATCTGTCCTTTGCCTTATTCACATAGCTTACTACTTTTCTAAAATTAAGTATTGATTAGCTTCCCCATTGCTGCTAAAATCAACAGATACATTGATGGCATGTGTCTAGAAGAGTCCTCTCATCAAGACTTGAGTTCTTCATGGTACACAGGGGCATTCTCGTTTCTGAATTGCCAGGCCCTTAGAGGAGGCATCCAGGAGACCTGAGGGCTCTCCATAGGCCTGGCTTCAGGTTGGGGTGAACTCTCACTTTTTCCTCATCTCACTCTCCATTCCAGCCCTCTGGACTGGCTACATTTGCTCTTCCTGCCTCTCACATGCTGTTCCACCCACTGTGGCATTCCTTACCACTGTCTCCCACCTGATGGCGTGGCCTGCTTCTCTTTATTCTTGTAACTACCTTCTCCAGGAAGCTTTCTCTGCCATCCGAAGCTGGGCTGGTCGTTCATCCCTACAGGTTTCCTTGGCACTTGGTACCTATCCCTGTAGTGGCACATGTTTGCATTGTTACTGCATATTTACTTGCTTTTTCTCCTCCACTAAATTGCATTCCTTGAGAGTTGGCATGTGTTGCATATGTGTGTAGAGAAGAGGCATTTCATATTGGTTGAATTTCTGACTGAACAAGTAGGTGAAGAAGTGGAGAGGTTGGGGGAGGAATGGATAAATGTCTGGGTCTCGAGTCAGCAGGCAGGGACACTTTGACTAGCTTATGAGATGGGGAGACTTAGGCAAGGGCCTGAGGCCTGTAGTCTTCTCCAGCAACCCATGAGCCCTGTAGCATTGACCCCGATTTTCTGTGCTCCTGGATCTTCGAAATGGTTTTGTGTTGGCAGGGAGTTATCATGAAAAGAAACTGCCCAAATCATTTGACAGTAAGTAAACAATGAGTCAAGCTTTCAACTTGTATGGTGTAGACACAAGTTTCTTTAACACTTGAACGTAATGATTTTTTTCTTTTTTCTTTCCAAACAGAGGAACTTATTCAGGCACTATTCATGTGGCTTTTTTTCACTTACTTTGGAATATGAGTGAAAGATAAATTTTTCACTTGCAAAAGAGGGATTTTACTTATTCCCAGAGACTGCAAGATTCCCTTTGCTTTATCAAATAATGTGTTTTAGCTGCAGTTTTGGGTTTTGGTTTCAGTATTAAAAGCCATAAGGGAATTTTGATTTTAGCACTAGAAACCAGTTTTTGAGTGAATATAATTCAGTTAAGCCAGTTTTTAATGAGAAAGCATGTAGTTAATAGATCTGTATAGCAAATTCCCACTATAAAACATGCTTCTATATTAGACATTTGTCTATGCCACAGGTAAAATAATATTTCCTGTTCTGTTAGCATAGCAAGTGTGAGGGCAGCTTATCCTTGTTGCCTCCCATCAGTGCAGGGACCAGGGGTCCACTGTTGTTACTGTTCATGTATCCCAGCATGGGGACAGTCAGCACACAGCCAGTCCCCAGGGAGAAGAGGGTGTGAGGCAGACAAAGAGTGCTCTGAACTAGAGGAGAGGCTTATCCTTTGGCCTTGACATCCTCCAATCTTTGTCCCCTCCTTTCTGTTTCTCAAACTTGTATCTCAACTGACTGCTCTTTGGGTGCAGGTGTAGGGGAGATATGTTGAATAGTAAGAGTTTCTGGGTAAAGAAGATTGAGAAACTATTTGTCTAAATGTGTGGTTTTTCTTAAGTCCGAACAATTTACAGCTATAATCTTCTAACCCAGTTAGTATACCTCCTGTCTGTTTGGTTTCCTAAATTGTATTGTAAATTTAATATTCCCAAATTTCTTGTCTTTAGCAATTTTTGTGTGTAGTTTTAAAGATTTGTAGACATGTAGACGTTCAGACACTTACCTCACAGCAAACAAGTTGAACCCAGATCTAACCATATATAAGTGATGGCAGTGAAATCAGTCCTGGAGCCACTGAAGTCCTATAGGACCCCAGGCCAAGAGTTTGCAATGTGACATTGTACTGTCGGAGCAGAGATCCAGAGTCGCCAAGGCAGCAGATTGAGTACAACTCCGTGGTTATTGTGAGGCACACAACCTTCCACTGCACATTCTGATCTCATAGTTACCAGAGGTGCAGATGGAAATGGGTATACAGTAGTCCCCTCATGCACAATTTTGCTGTCTGAGGCTTCAGTTACCTTCAGTCAATTGTGGTCTGAAAATATTAAATGGAAAATTCTAGAAATAAACAATTCGTAAGTTTTCAATCGCATGCCGTTCTGAGCAGCATGATGAAATCTCTCACTGTCCTGCTCCTTCCTCCCCAGGACATGAGTCCTCCCTTTGTCCAGTGTCTCCACACTGTAGACATTCCTACCCGTTAGTCACTTTCATAGCCACCTTAGTGATCAGGCTCACTGTCACGGTGTCACAGTGCTTGTATTCCAGTAACCCTTATTTTACTTAATAATAGTACCAAAACACAAGGGTACTAAGCCTAATGCATAAGTTAAACTTTATCATAGGTACGTATGTACAGGAAAAAAATAGTAAGTATAGGGTTTGGTACTATCTGCAGTTTCAGGCATCCACTGGAGGTCTCGGAATGTATCCCCTGAGAATAAGGGGGAACCACTGTATATTTAACACCTAGTAATATGAGGAAGTGCATTTCAGAAGAAAGAGGAGGGCCAGGCGCGGTGGCTCATGCCTGTAATCCCAGTACTTTGGGAGGCTGAGGTGGGTGGATCACCTGAGGTCAGGAGTTCGAGACCAGCCTGGCCAACATGGCAAAACCCTGTCTCTACTAAAAATACAAAAGTTAGCTGGGCATGGTGGTGTGTGCCTATAATCCCAGCTACTCAAGAGGCTGAGGCAGGAGAATTGCTTGAACCTGGAAAGTGGAGGTTGCAGTGAGCCGAGATCCCAGTGAGCTGAGACTGGACTCCAGTCTAGGTGACAGAGCAGGACTCCATCTCAAAAAAAAAGGACTTGTGGCGGGTCAGAATTGGTAAAGGAACAAAAGATGTGTTATCAGGTTATTTAAACACAAACCTATATAATAGTGTGTGTGGTTGATGATTTTAGTACACAGCCATCTGTATAGTAAAAGTAACCATGTACCTGTAAGGTTGAGGGTTGTTGGTTTAAGACAAGTTACTTAGGATTTTTTATAATCTCTGCCATTATTCTTACCTAAATTATGAAAGGTAATCAGAGGTGACCGTCAGGCATGATTCTGAGAGCCTCACATGCTTGAGCTAATTTAATCTTCATGCCGACTGTAAAGTATGTAGTTTACATGGTGTGACCCAGAAATATTTACTCATGACTCTCAGAGTGTATGTTCTTTCTGTATTTTGCATTATGATATTATACTTTGTTTTAGTAAGTATTGTTGAAGTTGGCCCTACTTAATAGAGAATCATCATAAATGGTAATTTGACTTATAGCAAACAGTCTCCTGAGGGAATAGACCATCTTTTTATCTCCCCGTTTCGTGCTAATGAGTTGATATTCTCAAGGAAAGGTTTTATAGCTGGATTCTGGCAGCTTGTACATGTTAATTGTGGTGTCTGAGATCTCTGCCATTCAGTGGCCGAAAGACTTGAGCAAGCACTCAAGAATGAGTAGATCCAAATGGTCAGCAACATGTAAGTCTGCTCAACCTTTTATTAGTAATTGGGAAAATGAAAATTAAAACCACAGTAAGGTATTAGCCATTCGCCAGCATGTCTACGATGAAAAAGACAGATAATGCAAAGTGGTGGCAAGGATGTTGAGTGATGAGGATATCAAGTAACAAGGAACATTGCTGGTGGGAGTTTAAACATGGAAAACGGTTTAATATTAAGTATTAAAGTGAAGATACCAACACTCCATGACTCAGAGTCCACTTCTAGGTCTATAACCAGGAAAAACACATGCTGCGTACCAGGAGACATGGACAAGAATGTTCACGGTAACATTATTTACAACAACTCCAAATTAGGAACAACTTGAATGTTCACCAACTATAGAATGAATAAGTCACTTGTGGTGTAGGCATAGAGTGGAGTGCCAGTCACAATCACAATTGATGATAGATAGGGCAGATAGAACAGCATGGATGAATCTCATGAATCTAGTGTTAAGTTGAAAAAGCCAGACATGAAGGAATTCATATCATATGATTCCATTTGTATAAATTTCAAAAAGCAGACGAAATGAAAATACAGTGCTTAGGAATTCATGCTTAGGTGGTAAACCTTTTGGGTGGGGTGTGGGCATGTGTAATAGTAAGGAAGGGGCCCCCATCATCTGCACAGCAGGATCTTGGAGCTGTTGCTTTTCTTACCCTCACCACGCTTAGGCCCAAAGAGATCAAGGGAGGGAGAAGTTGCTAGAACTTGGAAGGAGAGATTCCAGTCAAGTCAGCTGCTTGGAGCAGTGCTTTTCTTTTGAGAGACGGTCAAGCCTGAGGTTCCCTTACAGGAAGGAACCAGGGAAATAAACACCCTGAC